GGGAGGGGGCCCCCACCCCCTCTCTGGGCAACCCCTGCCAGGGTTTCACCACCCTCACTGGAAAGAATTTCTTCCTTTTATCTAGTGTATATCTTCTTATATCTTGGTGTAAGACCCTGCTCCTCCACGAGACACCAGCCCACCTCTGGGCAGCGGTGACGCGGTGGTGTATAAACCACCCCATGACCCTGATCCCTCCCTGCCTGAACGGATGGGTAAATTCAGTGACTGGTGGTAGTTCTCCCAGTTGCTAGTTAGGATGGTTCTACTGTAACAGTAAATACCAGACCTTGTAAAGCCTGACAGCAGGAGGAGCTGGTGCGTTTAACTGCTGAGAAACAGGTCCAGGGACTCCTGTAGTATTTTCAGCTACTTGAAGAGGATGTAGGTGGATGTTTTTCTATAAGCTGTCTGGCAAGTTCATGCTGAATTTTTGCAAAACACCAGGATGAGCCACTGAAGTAACTGCAAAGACTTTGTGCTCGCTTTACCGAGGGTTGGATTAAGCCCTGAAGTGCTACGTCTAAAGTACGCTGGACGTCTAAAGTATGCTGGTAACGTGGTTTAAACCTGCTTGAGCTCAGGGAGGGGACAGCAGCAACTCCAGGTAACTGAATGCTGTCTCTTTGGGACTGATTTTATTTTATTTACTGGCAGGATTTTTTTAAGCCATTGCCCTGAGTGGGTCTTCCCAGCAAGCAGAACTGGTGGCCTGAGGAGCTGAGCTGCCATTAGAGCTGGTGCCGCTTGTTACGCTCAACTAATGCTACCAGTGTCGTTCTTGCGATGACTTGTCTTCACCATTTCACAACTGGAAAATGGGATAAATTCTTAGAAGTTAAGCAGAGTTTATTTAAGAAGGTATTAGAGAATAGTTGAAGGCTTGGTGCAAGGTTGGTATCTTCAATTTAGGTAAATGGCCTTGTGGTACTCACCTGTCGTGGTGGCAGTGGCCTTCAGAAATACCGTGCTGCTGGCAACCTGCGCCAGTGTTAATAGGGGCGCAATCCAGCTGCGTTTGCAAGGAGCATGGTCTGATCTCAAAGGCACTAACCTGAAGAAAATAAAATCCCTCAAGCAAATAAAATCCCTCAAGCAGTTTGCCTGAGCGATGGTAGCTACTGACCCTCAGCAGCCCAGGTCGGAGGTCATGGGGTGCCGACAGAATTTCACTGGCGTGTTTTGATGAGTAGGAAGAACTGGAACAAGAAGTGTGCTTTTAAAAAAAAAAAAGATATCGTTACGTTAATTAAATTCCTTAATTATTCCCAAAGATGGTTTCCAAGCAGCATTTTCCAAAATATTCTACAGTTGGAGATAGCTACCTGTTAGCGGAGTGGCTTTCCTGAGGCAGCCCACTGAGCAGGCGGCAAAGCCAAGTTTAGAGCTCCGTTCTTTGACTCCAAATTGCCACAGCTATGGCTAGGTCTTGCACTGCTGCCGTGCCTTCCAAGTTCAGCA